CGTGTCGACCGACGGACTGGTCCGTGAGTTGATTCGTAAACGTCGCTGCTCCGACTGTCACCACTGCATCAAAGCGGCGAGTTGTTGCTTGGTTGCAGGCCGCTGGTTTTTCTGTCACCGTTACTGCTGCCATTTTACTGCATGCCCGCGGATAAAACAGAGGCGCAGGGCTGAGCCGGTTTGCACCGATGTCCGCGTTAACACGTGGAATGATTTGATTGGCATGTCTTTTTAAAAGTTTGCCTTGACTGCAGACATAGCAAAGGCAGTTACCGCAACGTCGAAGAACTTGAGCTGGAGACCATAGCGGTTTGAAGCCACGATGGTACTCTTTGATATAGACAAACTGATCGTTCTGGAACTGATATGGTCGCGCCTTATGATGATTGTTGAACTGTCGTTCCATTTTCTGGTTGCGGGGGCCTGGTGCGGTTGATTTGGGGTGTATTGGTCTGAGACTAGTGCGGAGTGGACGACCAAACAGTATTTCAGCTGAGGTGCGACCAGTAATTGCAGGATTTGGCGTGGAGCGGTAAGCAAGCAAGAAGGTTCCATCACCCTTTTGGATAGCGCGCTTGAGTGTATCCACGAAGCGTTCTGCTTGGCCTTTGGACTGGGGATGGAACGGTGGGGATCTGATGTGCTGGATACCATTAGGCATGCAGAAGTCCTGGAATTCAGTGGACGTTAACTGGGTGCCATTGTCGGAGACGACAATTTCGGGCGTTCCGAAACGAGCGAAAACTTCATTGAGGAGATGAACAGTTGCGAGTGCTGTCGTTTTGTCGGTAATGAGGACTTTTGGAAAATGAGTCGACAACGGCTAAAAAGTGATGACCAGCGGAAGGTCCCGCGTAATCAATATGAACGGGTGACCAAGGATGCTCGACTTGAGGCCAGGAAAATAGTTCAGCTTTACGAGGAGATTTGGCTGCTAACTGACACTGATGACAGTTCCGAACTAAGTTTTCAATATCGGCATCAATTCCAGGCTAACACCGGAATGAACGTGGTGTAGCTGACCAAGGACGGAGGCTTGAAGCGGTGCCGGAATAACCACTCTTTCTCCATACATTAGACAACCATCAACCAGGGACAGTGAATCCTTGCGGTTGAAAAACTGCTTGAAACAAGGGTGAGGTGATTAATGGTCTTAGGCCATTTCGAGCGAAGCGATTGATGACTCGCTTAAGAAGAGGATCAGCCTTAGTCTGCTGGCGAATTTTGCCAGCTGTGACAGGGAGCAATCGCGTAGCATGCGAGAGAACTTGCTGGACTTCTGCTTCAATCGTTTCGGTTGCGGCGATGGCAACTTCTTCATCAGGCGATTCCTTGGCTCGCTTTGAGATGTGGCGAGACAAAGCGTCAGCTTTTACTGCCGAGATAACTGCATAGGTAACGGGACGTTTGGGACGAAAAACTGGTTGGATATCCGGTTGTAATCGCAAAGTCGCTTTAAAAAGCTTGCAACAACCAAGCTCACTGCCACAGATGCAAGGAAAGCGAAAACGGACCACCTGTTACGCATCTGAAGCATTCAGGAAACTAACGGACCGCGAACTGCGCACTGCAGGTTCATCCTGAAGCTTGTTGAATGGTTGGTCAAAGAGACCTAGTTTCTCGATCCACTCAGCTCCAAGGAGGTTACTGTTGCCGTAGCTGGACACGTTACATATTCCGGACAAGGGTTTCGAAATTAAACGATAGGTGCATTTGAATTTACCTTGTAACGGAACTGGATCACCGGTAAAGCTGACTGCTGAAATTGCTGTGGCTTGGGTGAGCCTTGGAGAACCAATCATCTTCCAGGTTGAAGAAGATATAATTGTAAGGTCTGAATCCGTGTCAACCAGCAGTTTAACTATACGGTTGGTGATGAAAAAGGGCAGGTAGCAACGAAAACGTTTGAAATCAGCAGAGGCAAGGGCATAAACTCCGTTAAGCCAGGGTTTTCTGCGCCATTTGGATTTTTTTACACCTACGGACCTTCTGGATCCTGCTGTAGATGAAAGGCGACCGGGACAAAATCCTCTTTGTCACCAGTTTTGTTGCACAATGAACACGTGTGTTTCTTGTATGGACAGTCACGCACAAAATGCATATCTCCGCAGAACCAGCAGGGAGTTTTGGGTTTTCGTTTGGGCTTATTTGTTGGTGTATGCTAATACCTGGCGACATCGGCAATATTGGATGTGTTGAGACCTGGCGACGGTGGTTATGTCGGCAAAATCGGTAGCGCTGGTAGATTCAACCATTTCAGTGTCATGTTTCAGACGAAGAAGGCGGTTGCATTCGGCTACCAATTTGGGAATGGTGACATCGTCCTCCTTCTCAATTCTGTTGAGTAGCTGCAAACGAATATTGGCGTCCTCTGGGGACTGTAAGCCGCAAACGAACATGAAGCATTTGAAATGGCCTTCTTCAGCGAAGCCAGTTGAAACCGTTGGCAGTCTTGGTTTACTCTTCCGACATAAGCGATGAAATCTTCACGGTCCTTTTTCTTCATCATCAGGCATTTGTAAAGCGCGGTGAAACGAATCGTTTGGGAGCCAAACATCGATGATGGAATTTGAACCGTTTCTTTAAACGAAACATCATGGGGGTGGTGTGGTAGGATGAAATCGACGTATTGTTTGTGAATGGGAGTCTCCACCTATCGGAGCAATAATCGCATCCGGGCTGCATCATCCAGCATTTTGCCATCGACTCGAAACACGCCTTCAAAGCGGATATACCATGCCGGGAACGTTTCATTACTTTCCGGGTCATAGGTGAACTCCGTGATACTGGAGGACAATGACTCAAATCTCGGCCCCAGTATGGGCTTCTTATTCTGAACAGCTAGGTGCAGTTGACCCAGTACTGTACTGAGGATGGTTTGAAGGTCTTCCTTGGAGACGGACATCGTGAATTCGAATTATCCCCATGGCCAAATCTTCACAGAGCAAGGTCTGAATATTGGTTTATTGCGGTGGCCGAGCCGGGCAAAACAAACTCTCACAAGGCGAGACGATACAACATAACACACAAGTAACAACTTGTGCTCGACGATCGGCGCGTCGTACATGCCGCTCTCACATATGCTAATGCCTAGAGCGCATGATTGACCGCCTACGTGGCGATGTGAAGTCGATTAGATCACAACATGAAAATAAAGTAGTCGGTCGCACTGTCGCATCAATGCACGAATGACTCATGGCAATGATTTATAATTATTATCGTCCGTAATAATATGCTATTTCGAAATTATGTTCAAGCATCTGAAATTGACCGCGAGACCGAGAGGAAGGATGGAAGAAAAATTATTGCGCCATTATTTTTCATTCAGCATAATAAATAAATTACAAACAACCACGCCACACTTTTTATACGCTCCAATAACAACATAGAATAATATTTCATGATATAATCCGCGTTTTGAAACGATCCGTTTCAAATGTCAAACTTAGGACCTGCTTGCTCATCGATATTCACCGAACACATTACTGAAGCTTTGCATCTCGTGGTCTATTCTTTCAAAAGGCGTCTAATCATGGAATAAATCAAATGCGACACAGATGACTTTCGATTAAAGAATCAAAGAATAGAAAAGAGAAATAGGAAACGTGAAATATCGACACCAAATGAATCCAACGCAAGTATTGCAGATCATTCAGAAAGGACTTTCAGCATAGTATGAAACTGGTTCGTTGTTTTCTCTTTCAAATTATTTCGCTGCCCACCGCCTACCGTTCACAGGGTTTGCAGAGAGCACTGTGTTTTTGAAACAATATCCTTCCAAGAAAAATAAACTTGGATCAACTGCTCTTTGATAAACCATTCAGCCGACTAACTTCACTTGATCTGACACTTCCATTAGAAAGCTGTTGCATCCCGCTTGGCATTGCATTCTGTGATCTAAATTCTTACGCACCTCTGAGGGAGGGAACGAGGAATGAAATACCAGGCTTGGAGACGAATCGTGTGAAATGACACCTATTTATAATCCAGTAAGCTGATCTCACCTCTGCTACGCCCATGTCGTCAAGTCAACAGAGTAACTTAGTAGTGTTAGCCTCGTGCAGGGGTGAGGAGATTGTGAATGAAGTATCATTTGTGCAGGAAACATTCATCTTCCCCGGAAAATAGAACTCAATCAACTACTTTGACGTATTCTTTTTCTAAGTGTAGGTTATATCGATTTTCATGTTTTAGGGCTACAGTAAAAATATTGAAGAATATGCACGTCGATACGCACAGGCTTGCAACAGTTCTGTTAAAAACACCGGCACGAGTATGCTCAGTGTCGTTACATTGACTGACGTATTCGGAGGCAATGGTGAGGATCGTACTCTAACGACCAGCAAGAAGAAAGCAGCAATAAGTTTCGCCTTGAATCAGTGGTTCAATGAACGCAAATTTTTCACCTGGCCGAACAAGTGCAACCCGACTTGCTGTTCCTTCAAAGCGGTGAGACGAACTGTAGAGCGTGTACATTTGATGGATTTTAACCGGAGCTTAATTTCAGATGATGTATGACAAAGGGAGGTTTGTTGGATGTTCCATCGCCCAATGTGATAATTTGGACAATGGAGGATTGTTCATGCCGAGAGCAATCCAGATCGTGTGCGGTTTCGAACCAATGTATGGAGAATACACATGATGACTCAATGTAGTACTTCCTTGCTTTAGGACATTCAGCACCCAGCCGTACGAAGGAGGTGATCTGGACTGTCCACATGACTACCCTGTTCGAAGGGAAGATGGCCTTTGCGCAGCAGCATAATTTATTCAGACCAGTATTTCAGTGGATTTTTTTGTCGAAAGCTTTAAAGTGATTGAATAAAGCGGAATATTTAAGTTTTATCAGTGATGTTCACTTCGTACAATTTTCATAAACGATCTTATACACCAAACCTAGCTAATTCGCCTCTGGTTTCAACGGTATCACGAAGGGCTGACTACACGACGAAGCAGATTATCCTTGAACGTTAGATGGCTCCATGAAATCATCGACTGGTTTTGGTTGTTCAACTGGTAGGGAAGTATTCGACACCGTGGGACATAAAAGAGAGGAGGTAGCGGATGAAAACACCATCATTCGGCGCAGGAACACCTCATTGGAAAAGATTTCCGGCTTGGACTCACTGAATAATTGTTTCAAATCATATTCCGAATCTCGGTTTTTTCAGATTAACTGCTCGCATTGATTAACGTCACTGCGGCAAAGTTAAGCATTGCAATCATGTTTAGTATCATTTGATTAGAATGAGTTTATGTTCAAAATCTTTCTGGCTTTGGACCCTCGCAGAAGACGTAAACGCGTGAGAAGACAAAAGGGACGTGAAGTGTGGAAAAACGCTCATCTTCGTCGTCCGTAACCGCTTCTCCTTTCAGGTCGGTGTAGACGTACGCACCACACAGTGCTTCCTACTGTTTCGATCATCCGTTTAAAGTGTCGGTAGGAGCCCACTAAAGTCTGGAGCAGACTCCTTCTATGCATATTTTGGCCAGGAGCGTGTTGGCCGCGCCCTGGGGATAATTGGTTGTCGGCTGGGCAAGTATTAGTAGCTTCTCCTTCCTCCCTGGAGACATTTGCAATACGCGTTGAAACCCTCGCTGCTGTGACTCATCGGTCTGAGGAAGCGGCGGTTGTGCACCACCGGTGTCATGGTTTTCCGCATTCCGCACCGTGTGGAGGGGCGTCAGGTCAATGAAGCGTGTCTGAAAGCCAATATCAGCCGCTTGCACCATTGATCTAAATTTGTCAGTAATGGTGAAGAAGGGGATAAAGACCTACTGGAATACTTAGAGCATAGTTGTCTGACTGAGTTCTGCTTTAGTCACAGTCCCTTGGACTAGTTCATGAAGAACGCTACCCGCAACTCCAATCCACAGGACTATATCCTGCTGTAGCTTGCCATCGCCACTAAACGCGATTTTCAGAGACTAGCGGTTTTCCACCTGTTGCTGCTTCTCCGTTAACCTGCAAAGAACAACGGGAAGCAGAACAAGGAAGCACTAGGCCTTTTATTATAAATGCGTTCATACGCCCGCCGGCCACGTAGCACTTAGGGGCGGACCTCTACATACAGCGCTGTAGGGGAGCTTCAGAAGATGCCAAGAGATCGAAGTCGTCTGCAAACAGCAACCTTCTCGTCTTCACATCTCCTACACCGACTCACTCACCGCCTAGGCTGCTACTGACTACTCTATCACTGTACAACACAAACAGGAGAGGGGACAAAATGCAGCCTTTGGGGATACAAAGGCTAAGGCAGGAAGGATTCGACTTAACGCCATTTACAGAGACCCAGCACCTGCTATCGGCATATACTGATTGGATTTCCCCAGCATCTGGCCATTGATCCAGTACGTTAGCAGCCTTGCCCAGAGATTTTCGCCCGGGATCAAGCCAGAGATTTTATCTGGGTGTGCAAAGCATACGTAGACCGAATGGCGAATTGCCAAGATTTTTCAACAATCTGGCGTAAGGCAAAGAAATGGCTAGAGGTGGTTCGACCGGGAAGCCACACTGCCCGTCGTTAGGAACCTCCTTTCTAGAACCTTTACGCGGACTTTACCTAAGAAGCTGAATAAGGCAATGCACCGATAATTGCAGCACTCCCGGTCTGCAAGGACTAGACAATTCTCATTTTCATCATTATGCCTTTGATAGCGAGGGATATATTTGCAAACTATACCTTTCTCAACACTATTGCATGGAATGAGTCCTGAAGTCCAAAAGGTAAAGGCGAGCTGATGCGTCAAATGAGCACTTCAACGTCAAAATTCCATTATACCAAAAAACTGCGAAGGACAGTGCCTTTCAAGATTAAAACTTAAAAAGCTGTTGGAATCAGTGAAATCCGCCCCCAAAACTATTGGGTGAGCAAGACTTGTGCTAGTCTTCACTCCTCTGTCAAATTCTAATGGCTGTGGTGGGTGGGGAGGTTGTTGTATGCCTCTTCAGGAATGTAGACTATGGGGAGTGAACGATTTTTCAGGGTAGTGCTTTGTTGAAAATTGCCAGGTAAAGTCTGCGCAAAAGTACCAGAAAAGATGTTTCTAAAAATTGCTGACTCCACGGTACAGGAACACCAGTGTGGATTCCGACTCCGCCGAAGCACATGTGACCGGATATTCACACGCTCCCAGATTGTTGAAAAATCGCGCCAGTTTGACCATCTCGTGTATATGTGCTCTGTAGACCTAGATAAACGTTATGACCGGTTCATGCGCAACAGCCAACGATCGTGTCCGCCAACGTATGGGACCGATGGCCAGTTGCTACTGGCCATCCAATGAGTATATGTAACTTCCAGGTGCCGCCTGGTTGGTTGAGGTCAGCTATTTTTTAAAAGAGGGGTCTTCAGTGAAAAGCGTTACGAACTTCCACTTCTCTGGGCATTTCACATCCTTGCAATACACCAGCCCTCTTCCCTTGCCATCGGATACCTAAAGGTAGTGTTTAGTACGGTTTTTCATCCATTTCGTCAGCGAATACTTCCAACTTATGTATGGAAATTGGCAGAAAAAAGTTTAGTGGTTCACAACAGAAAGCAACTTTGTGCGGTGATCGGGTGATTGATCGCTTCGAACGCATTGACGCATGTCTGATAGGCTTTCTTAGGTTAAGAATGTGTATGAAATTTAGCAGATCCCATGGTGTTTCTCCATCAGGTAGTACTTTTGGAGCTGAGAAGAAGAACTTCAGGTTAAACAGCAATTGGAGGCACGTGACTATCGAATCGCTGAACAGAACTACTGTTCTTCGTCGTGGTTCAGGCGATGGTGCAGATGGTCAATCCTTCGTTTCACATATGTTGTGAAACAGTTTCCTGCTTTGATTATGCCAACAAACCGTGTCCGAAGCAAAGTTGGACTTTCAGTCCCCCTTTTCATATTTGTGCTGCAAAGGAGAAGTTTTGTAGTTCTTTTGAAGGTAATTTGGACGGGCTATTATTAGTAATAAAACAGATTATGACAGTTGGTCCTAGCGTAAGACAGATAATCAGTATTTGGACTGACTCAAGAAACAAATGCTCTTTAAAAACTAGATGAGGAGGACTTAGTTCTAATATGGCACATTTCTCCATCACATGAAACAAACTGTATTGATGTAATCACATTATTTCTTTGGGGTCTCCATCGATTTGAAATTTGTAAATATATAATAATTTTGCTGAAACACACTGAATAATATCGATCTCTTGGTGATGCTACCGTTCGATCTGGTAAAACTTGTAAGCATATTGTTGAAAAATTTTATGTGCTTGAAAAGCGAAATCTACGACGAAAATTATGGGAACACCTGAAAATCGAGCATCCATCGGTTATCGAATGCTTCCTCATATGTTACTGAAATAGACAACATCAGACGGTCTGTCGTGTTTGTTTCAGCACTGTTTCAGCAGCACTAGAAAAATTCGACGATGTTCCGCAATGCTGATTTTGTAACCAACCTTAAAGGTTCGTCATTAACGTCTTTTAACGCTTGCAACAGTCGAAAGGGATATATGATGCCCAGTGACTCAAGACACTCACTTTACGGTTGCCTGATCACGAGTTGATCTTACCAGGTGCCTTGTAGCAATTTCTACCAGGTGCGTCGACAGCTGCTTCTGTCGCTGATGAGGCACTAATAGTTAAGTAAAAAATAACGTTCGTCGATCAGTTTTTAGCTATGCTTTAAACTATGTTTCAAAGCTGATTCAGATCGCCTCAAAGACCAATCGTTGTTCAATCCATATACCCTCCACAATAAACTCAACTGATAATCGAATATCACTGCTACGTATTGCACAGAATTAATAACACAGGTAGAAGTGCCGCTTTCTACACATTCTTTGACCGTTATGGCAGTGATTCACTTTGATTACTCCTGTGAGGCACAACGCACGAGTTGAAAGACGCTAGACAGACCCGTCACAAAATGCGTGCCAATAAATAAGCCTCGTGTGCAAGAATAAGAAGAAAACGAGGCTGAAGCGTAAGAAAGTACATCACCTCTGATGTCGATTGAGGATGAGGTTGTAGTGGCTGAGAATGAATTTAATTTACGGAACGAGTAAAAGTCTTATTTCTGTTCATTACAACAATCTCGAAGGTTTATCGCTCAAGTCACCCTGATGGACAATTAGTACAATAATATCGAAATGAAGTCGAAAATAAAATGTGTAGCTCTGGTGTGACTATCTTCGAAACTTTTTCTAGACAAAGCCAATTTTGACGCCCTTTGTTTATACAAGGTTGATGAGGTCGCGACTGTATTGATTCCATTCCGACGGCCAAAGGTGCCATATTTGTTAAATGAGGAGTCGACCTCACCCGTGCGTTTAGAGTAGAATGTTGTCTCCCGTTTCCATCTGGCAAATTGCAATGATTTATGAACTGTAAATCAAATTGGGGCCAGTGAGCTCATCGAGGCTCTAACGAGAAAGCACTCTCTTGAGAGTCCGATGCTTTAACGGGTGACGAACCCTGGTCAGCAAACATTTGGATATTCACAGATAAAACTCACTGAATTATTGGTTTCCACAAAATATTCTCAAAATTTGGAACTGTGTTTCTTACTTCATCTTCATTTTCTTCATCTTCGATGGCCGCTTGTATTTTCCAGTGGTGAATGCAGACGCTTCAGACACAGCCTCAAACGTTCCCGATCCTGTACCAGAGTCTGAGATTCTGCAGAAGACAGCTAGAGTCTGGAACCCGCTCCTTCCATAAATTGCATCAGGTTAATCTCGCCGTCCCCTGGGCTTTTGCCAATCGCTTTCAGAAGAA